GGAAGTTTGGGGTTGTTGGCTGAAGGCAAATGAGACGCCTATTGATAACATGACTTCACATATCATTCTTCAAATAAACTCTGTTACCTTCCTCATTCTTCACTGTCTTGTTCATAACATGACTGTTAAAAGTAGTATTGCCAAAAAAAGTAGCATTCAAGATATCAATCAAGCAGAACATGCCAGTTTAGCTTGTTAACATTTGCACGGATTGCATATATGCTCATGCAGAATGAATTACCGTTGCATTTGATACTTCATTCTTCGTAACTTCTGTATTCACAAAGCTTATTATTTATGAAGAACAAAAAGAAGAAAACACAAAAAAGCTAAATAACAAAGTGTTGCTTGTTCATAGGGAGAAAATAGGAGAGCAACAAGAATGAGTAAATCGAACAACGAGTTGAAATAAAATCAAGAGACGAACATGCTTCACCATATCCTCATGAACAGCTCGGATCTTTTCCTTGAGCTCATCCTGTCAACATAAAGGGTATCAAATCTGAAAATTTGAAACTCAAAAAATACAAGTAATGGCAAAATAAAGAGATTGTTACTAATAGAGCACTATAAACTTTCATATTTACTGGTATATAATCCAATCCTTTAAAATTACAGGAATTCCACCTTATTCTATTAGACGATGACTTATATACCACCTTAACATCTAGTTATTGTGGTATATTTAGAAAAATAGGATAAAATACCAAAAATAATAATAGGTGATATGACTGTAAATATGAATGTTTGCGGGTAATATACCAGTAATTCTTAAAATGTGATTTTTACTATTATACCACTACAAATTTTATTATTGTAACGGTCATATTTTCTATTATTAACTTTACAACTCATAAAATACCATATGACAGCAGCAACAACAATCCCTTATCCCCACTGTGGGGTTGGCCACATGAATTCTTTTTCTCCATTGTGTCCTATTAAGAGTTAAATTATCATTTAAATCTAATAGAGAAAGGTCATTTCTAATATTTTCTAACCAAATATTTTTAGGTCTACCTCTACCTTTCTTAACATAAGTCAAATCTAATACATCTACTTTCCTAACCGGGTCATCGAAAGGCCACCGTTTATGTGACCAAACCATCTAAGGTGATTCACTCTAATCTTATCTTCCACTAGAGCTACTCCAACCTTTTCACGTATATGCTCATTTCGAATCCTGCCTCTAAGAGTAAAGCCATTCATCCACCTGAGTATCCTCATCTCTACAACACTTAACTTAATGTTATGCTTCTCTTTTAATGGCCAACATTTTTACCATAAAGCATTGCAGGTCTAACCACCATCTTATATAATTTTTCCTATGTTTGAGGGGGACTTTTCTATCACACAATAAGCCTGATGCATTCCTCCACTTAAACCATCCAACTTGAGTTCTACTAATAATATCCCCATCCATTTCACCATCACTCTAAACAATAGACCCAAGATATCTAAAACGTGTACTCTTATTAATAACTTGATCACCCAAAGTCACAATCCCCCCATAAGAACTATTATTACTAAAATTATATTCCATATATTTAATTTTAAATATACTCAAACAAAAGTCTTTAGACTCTAAGGTTGACCTCCATAATTCAAGTTTACATTCAACTCCCTCTCTAGTCTTATCAACAAGAAGAATATCATCAGCAAAAAACATGCACCGAGGCACAACCTCTTGAAAATGTCTAGTGAGAACATCCAAGACTAAAGAAAAAAGGCATTGGCTTAAGTCTTATCCTTGATGTAATATGGGCTTAAGGCTTATCCTTGATGTAATACAATTGAAATAGGAAATACTTGGTCAAACCACCTTGTGTTTGAACACAATTAACATCTCTTGCATACATATCCTTAATGACTTGAATATAAGCATTATTAACCCTTTCTTTTCTAGAACTCTCCATAACACTTTTCTTGGAACTTTATCATATTATTTCTCTAAATAAATAAATATCATATGTAGATCCTCCTTATTCTCTTTATACTTCTCCATCAAACATCTAAATAAATGTATAGCTTCCATAATAGACCTACCCGGCATTAATCCAAATTGATTTTGAGAAACATTAGTATCACGCCGCACCCTATGCTCCATAACTCTCTCCCATAGTTTTAAAGTATGCCATATTAACTTAATTCCTCTATAATTTGCACAATTTTGTGCACACCTATATTCTTAAAAATAGAAATCAGCACACTCATTCTCCAATCATCTGGCATCTTTTTCGTCTTCAAAATAATATTAAAAAGTTTAATAAGTCAAGAAATTCCTTCATCTCCCAAGTATTTCCACGCCTCTATTGGAATATCATTAGGTCCAACAGCTTTTCTACACTTCATTTTCTTTAAAGCCCCTCTAACTTTGATTTTACAAATACGCCGATAAAAACAAAAATCATTATTTTCATTTAGGATACTAAGGTTACTAAATCAATCACATTCTCATAATCTTCAATTCTTCATTGAAAAGTTTATAAAAATATCTCGTTCACCTTTATTGAATATATTGTTCTAATAAAAGCACTTTTGATCTTCATCCTTAATACACTTCTTGAACTAAATCTTTACTACTTTTATCTATTTGTTTGCCTAACTTATAAATATATATTTCGTCTTCCTTAGTATCTAATCTATTATATAAATCATTAAAAATTAAAATCTTTGCATTGCATATTAATTTCTTAGACTCCTTACGATCCTCTTTATATTCTTTCCAATTATAGTAAATTTTATATCTAACTAATTTTTATAACAATTTTTTAATCTTTTCTTGCACATTTTGATTCCACCACCAACTATTTTTACTATTATGAACTTTTCCCTTTAATACTCCAAACACATCTTTTGTAAAATTGTTAATATCACTAACAACTTTTTCCCACATACCATTATCTTCCTCATGCACAAATAAAATCTTAAGATCTAGTATCTTTCTCTCAAAAATATTTTTGTTAATATTCTTTAAAAAATCCCATCTAATCCTAGAACAATATTTTACTTTATTTTTTTTATTTTTTGCCCCTTCATCTTAAAGTTCAAAACTAATAAACGATGTTGGATATATATACTTTCACTCGGAATAACTTTACAGTTTTCAATCAAAACGATCTATTTTTCTAATAAGAAAATAATTAATCTAAGTTTTACTATTTATATTTTTTAAGTGATGAGATGCTCATCTCTTTTTTTGAATAACGTATTAGCAATTACAAATCATACACCAAAGAAAAATCTAATATGATCTTACTACCTTCATTAGTCGCTCCAAACTCATAGCCACCATGAATGCTTTTAACATTATCTACCTCTCTACCAACATGTACATTTAATCTCCTCCCAATAGTTTTTTTTTTCTTTAAGAGGTATCTTTTGTATTAATTATTCTAAGTCATTCCAAATTAATTTTGAACCCATATCCAAACCTACTTGAGGAACAAAACCACTAATAATATTAATAATCTTAGCATCAACAACAATCTTTAAAGCTATAATTCTATATCCAATCCTATTAATTTTTATAACATTATCCTTTAAACTCTTATCAATAATCACACATATATAATTTCTAGTACGACTCTTACCAGAATATTATAATTAAAATTCTAAATTATCAATATCCTTAGCCTTCTCTCCAACTGATTTAGTTTTCTAAATACATAGAATATTGATCTTCCTACAATTCATAATATCTATTAATTTTATTAATTTGCCTGTAAGGAAAACTATATTCTAAGTTCATATCCTAATTTTAATTTTATGGACTAGCTTCTTTGCCAACATCCGTCAATGATGTGGGAACTCTTGCCTATTTAACACTCGGTGCAGTACCCTTTTTACACTTATCACTATATTCAGGTCATCGCGTCGCTTCCAAGGAACGCACTAGCATTAATACAATGTATTAAAAAATTCATGCCATTATTCGACAAATTTTACGTTGGCTGCTGATTACCTAATGCAACACTCAACTTTTCTCATCTAGAACTTGGGACCTGACAATGATATTTATAACTTTTTTTAGAGAAAAAAAATATTTTATGAATCTTCAATGCATAGAGAAATGAATTATATGACAATTTTATTTCCCAAATTCTCGATAATGTAGGTGACTTCAAGGTCTGTTATTTCTAAAGCATGTCTAACATGCAATGTAGATTTAGATATGGCCACCTGATGCAACAAACACAAGGTTTTCACAATGAGCAACATTTATTCTTAAAACTATTATCAGCAAGTTTTGAAGGAGAAAAAAAAAATCCAATTCAGACAAAAAATTTTAGCCTTATATTAGAAAGTAATATTAAGAAAATTAGAAATTAAAAAAAATATATAATCACACTTTTAACCAATCACAATAATAAGAAGAGAACAAGAAGAAAAAAAGAAAGAAGAAAGGGAATTGAGGAAAAAGGAATAAGCGTTAAGAAGAAAAAGAATGATTTGCATGTCTAAAGCGAATTTTTGTTTGTCATTAACCTTCTCTCTTCCATGCCTTGGATAAACCTATTTATAAAATTCAAATGAGATCAAAGAAAACCACCCAAGCATCCACTGAATGAGATATCAAAAACCCACAATAATTGCTCATAAAATAAGAAGTTGAACTCATAGCTACAAAAAGGAAGCAATGGTTCGATATATAGGAAGGTTCAATAACCACTCATGTCGAAACGATTTAAGGAATAAAATTACAGAAATCCTACAACAGTATCACATGAAGGAAACCACAAGTAAGGCTATAGTTCCATAAAGAAAACTAGCCATAATAAAGAACATAAGTCAGGGAAACTACACCGGAAGATTCATCAAAATAGAGCCTCCAAAGATATGGAAACAAGAGTTGGAAGAAATAGAAACCCTCAGAATAAGATACATACTCCAAAAGAATCGCAGAATAGGATGGCAACAGCTGGAATACAGGGTTGGCAGTTGAAAACTCCACGTGCATAGTTTGAGTGATCCGCATAGGCAACTAGAATCAAAAGAGTTCTCAATTGGCCTTACACAAATAATTTTCATTTAATAAACATAAATCTTCAATAACCTAAACAGATGCCAAAATCTTTATTTATGAAAATAAGGTCAAATGCTTTGAAAATAAATCAAATGATAATCAAGAATAAATATATTCCTATTAAACATTCTAAATCAAGCCTAAGATTATCCAAGGAAATAATTAATGTAATAAAATAATTCAAACAAAAATTAAGGGAAATTTGACCAAAAATGCCTGTGGGATCAAAAAAATCTAAATACAACTCTAGCTTTAGCCCAATTGCAACTTGGTTTGGGACCTTATAATTGGCTAACAATGAATTGGGCTTTTGCAAGCTATTGTGGCTTGATTGAGTTATATTGCATCAACTTACACGTGATGCAAAGAATCCTCTAAAGAGTTGGTATGCATATAATCATCCAAGGGATCAGATATTGGGCTTTGAATTCATTCTTAATCATTCATGTGGGCTTTGAATTCATCCTTAATCAGTCATGTGTCATTTGATGGAGGAATGATTTTTCATCTAATCAAAAAAGCAATGTTTAGCAATTTTCCCATGTACTGCATCTAAATTAATAGGTAACAGAACATAAATGAATAACTCGAGAGAAGCAACAATTGTAGTAGAAATCATTCATGTAGAAGAATCATAGGCACTTCTGGACATTTGAATATTCCTTGACAAAGAAATAAATATTTAATGTTGAATATAGGACTTGCAAATATATTTGGAGGTAAATCTAAAACATACAACAACAACAACATCAAGCCTTTGTCCCACTACGTGGGGTCGGCTACATGAATCCTTTTTCGCCATTGTGTCCTATTAAAAGTCAAATTCTTATTTAAATCTAATAAAGAAAGATCATTTCTAATATTTTCTAACCAAGTCTTATTAGGTTTACCTCTACCTTTCTTAACATAAGTCAAATCTAATACCTCAACTTTCCTAACCGGGTCATCAGAAGGCCTCCGTTTAATGTGACCAAACCATCTAAGGCGACTCTCTCTAATTTTATATTCCACTGGAGCTACTCCAACCTTTTTTACGTATATGCTCATTTCGTATCTTATCTCTAGGGGTAAAGCCACTCATCCACCTAAGCATTCTTATCTCTGCAACACTTAACTTAGCAAAAAATAATGATCTTCCCACTTATATGTAAAGGGTTGCTCACCTTTCCTTGCAATTTCTTATATCTAGCCTGTGTGCTGTGAAGCATTTAGGAAGTACCCAAATCATAATAAAGTCACTTTCACTATACTCTCAAGCACTTCTCTTGACATTTAGAGCGTCTGAATATTCAATGTTATGCAATGCAATATTCTAAAATCATCATGTTGATCATTTATAAATTGTGCAAATGATATAGAATAAACAAAATATACATAAAGCGGTAAAGAGATAAGATCTATAGGCTTTTTTTCAGGTTCAATCCTTGAACGATCTCAGATGGTGCTTTGCTTGTAGACTTACACACACTATTGTTGTATGCAAATTCAACAATAAGACGTAAATCCCAATTTCCTTGACTATTGCCAATTATATTTTTTTTTTCACTACTTTAGTTTGATCATTAATTTGTTGTAGAATTAAAAAACAAAAAGTTTAGTAGTAGTACTCAATAAATTCTATAATATCTTTCAAAATAAAACATAAATATAATATATTTATTAGATAGTGTTATCTTAAGCAACCCTTGCAGTCAAATTATTTTCATAAATAAAATTTGGCTGCAAAAAAAACAACAGTATTCTTTAAGCATGGAATAAATTGAGCCATTTAAAAAAGATGTCTACCTTAACCAACATATTATCATAGCATCTAGCAATCCTCGGTAATCTCAATGCAAAATTCATTATTGAGTCAACTTAAGGAGTAAAAGCCAGGAGAGAAGTACATGCGCTAGCACAATATTTACCAATTTGCACATCTAACATGATTGATACTAACTAATGATCTTAGCAATATATCTTCTTAACAACAACCAAAACAAATTTATATTCAAGCAAATGTATGATTTCAACTCACCTGAAATAACTATACCGCTTGCATATATTTTCCAAATATCACGAAGAGTGGTCCTTGGAATGCAAAGTTGCTACTTATACAAAAGCTTACATCTCAAAACATAACAGTAAAATAAGGAATGAACGACATGTCCTTGTAACCGTGATAAATCAATTGGTAGTGAGAACGTAATAAATAATCTTCTTGTATTCTTTCAAAATAAGCCACATTGATGTATATGGACGCCAACAAGTTTGTTCTAAATGCCAAGTGCAATCCTAAAGATATTCAATACACGTAACATCTCTAGTGCTCGATCTCTTTTAAGCATTTATGTAATTAAAAAAATCAAAATAAATTACTCTGGTTATAATAGCAAATAGTATAACCAATATTTTAAACCTCAAATAAGAACATAAAATTCTCTATGATAAATAGAATATCTTTTTATAGCTTCATTAAGCTTCTCACTATAGTAAGTGATTGAGTGACCTCCTAAGTTGAGAATTTCACATATATCAACATCAAAGACATTCCCAGATATCTCAAAAATCTTTTGAAAGTTAGAAAATCTCAAAACTGGTGATGTAATCACCAAAACTTTTATTTGCTTGGGCTTTGGAAACAAATGGTATCCAAACATACTTACCATCCTAAGAGTATGCGTAAAAAGAGTAGCTAAGGAACTAAAATCATTAATGTATTGTTTGTAGAATGTAGCTAATCCAGGAATACTCCTAATAGCAAAGATAGAAGTAGGGTCGGGCCATCAAAGATTAGTTTCTTTTTTTAAAGATCTAGTCTAAGGCTTGACTGATTTTTTATAGATACAGTCCAAGACCTTTAGATGACAGCAAAAATTCATGAAATATGAATTTTAACTGCATAAGCGTGCACTTTTTGAAATAACTATACAATTTTTCATTATTTAACTTACTGCAATACTTCACACAAGCGATGATTAAAGTTTTATGTTTCAGTTGAGCTACGAATAAGTATATCATTAAAGTATTCAATCAAAAACTTACCAATAAATGGTCAAGCACTGAAGCATAGAGTATTAAGGCATCATTGAGGCAATAATAACTTTTTTATCCCTAAGTTTGGAGGTTCATGGTGAAGTCTTGAAGGTTTATAAAGGTTAAACTATACATACTCCTAATCATGGTGGCCTAGTGTAACGATCTACAAACACAATTAACAAGAAAGCTTAGGCCTACTAGAGCAAATTTATAGACATCACTGGAATTGACATCAAACCTATACATTTATTGAGAGGTTTGATGGAGAAGTATACAGAGAATAAGGAAAATCTATATATGATTTTTATTGGTTTAGAGAAAGCATATGATGAAGTTTCAAGAAAAGTGCTACGTAGAGTTCTACATAAGAAATGAGTCAATAATGCTTATATTCAAATCATTAAGGATATGTATGCAGGAGTTGTTGTGTTCAAACACAAGATGGTTTGACCAAGTATTTTCCTATTTCAATTGGATTACATCAAGGATCAGCTTTAAGCACATATATTTTTGCTATAGTCATTGATGTTCTCACTAGACATTTGCAAGAGGTTGTACCTTGGTGTATACTTTTTGCTGATGATATTCTTCTTGTTGATAAGATGATAGGAAATACTTGAGTTCGCAAGTAACCCTAAGGTAATAATTGAGTTTGCAAGCAAACCTATCCCAAATTGGTGACAAATAGCAACGAAATTGCTGTTGGCAGCAGGAAAACAGCCTGAAACAGTGGAAATCAACAAAGAAACTGAGTAGAAATCTGAAGAAAATCAAGCCAACCACTTGTATTCCACTAGTAGATGAATAAAGAAAACAACCATACAAGATTCTTCAATTCGAGAGGAATAGAACTCTCCAAAATCTCTAGCCAAGAAGACTAGAGCCCAAGCCTCTAAGAAGATCCAAAAAATCAGCCAAAATTCAAGATAAAATCCTAAATCCCCCTTAACCCCTAATTAAGCTTGGAGTAAGGACAGATCCATGTTGGACTGGTCCAGCTAACCCGGGAGGGGCAGCCTAACATAAGACTAGAGAGAGTTGAAGGTAAACTTGAATTATGGAGGTCAACCTTAGAGTTTAAAGGCTTTCATTTGAGTAGATCTAAAACTGAATATATGAAGTGTAATTTTAGTAATAATAGATCTAGTGGGGGTTTATGACTTTGGGCGATCAAGTTATTACTAAGATAACATGTTTTAGATATATTGGGTTTATTGTTCATAGTAATGGTGAAATAGATGGGGATATTGTTAATAGAATTCAAGTTGAATGGTTGAAGTAGAGGAATGCATCGGGCTTGTTGTGTGATAGAAAAATCCCTCTCAAACTTAAGGGAAATTTCTATAAATGATAGTGAGACCTACAATGCTTTATGGTGCAAAATGCTAGCCATTAAAAGAGAAGCATAATATTAAGTTTAGTGTTGCAGAGATGAGGATGCTCAAGTGGATGAGAGGCTTTACTCTTAAAGATAGGATACGAAATGAGCATATATGTTAAAAGGTTGGAGTAGCTCCATTGGAAGATAAGATAAGTTGGGTTATTTGGTCCCTGACAAGTTCATGTGTGTCAAGTTGCATAAGGTGTTTAAGCAAAAAAGCTAACCAACGCTTGCTTGCTTGAAGCTCAATTTTAATATCTTCTAGTCAACTGGATTGCTTTAGATTTGTAAAAAAAATCAATTGATTCTTTGTGTAATTTAGGTGAGCTTATACCACTTGGTTAGGTTATTTGGTCCTTAGTCATGGCTACTTAGATCCAAGTTACCGATTTGGGATTGATTTGGCTAGCCCAACATGATAAGCACTTTAATCACAACATGTTAGTGTCGACTTAACATGAACCACACACAATAACAAAAAGGGTTCTATTGAGTCCTATTGTAGTTTATATCACTAAGGTGCCCAAGGTGCATCACAAGAAGATATCTCCATTCCCAAGCTCTATCATCAAGAGAACATAAGCAAGGGAACTATAATCAGCAAAGGTGATAATCATCAATCACCTACTCTACTATGATGGCATGTGTCTTTTGTTCCTAGAAGACAATATAATGAAGCATTCACTTCCAAGAATTGAACTTCAAGGAGGTAAAGAAGACCAATGCTCGATACATTACCTAACTGCAAAAGTCTGTGAATCCAATTTTGTCAAATCAAGTCCAAACCATGAGCCATTGTGGTCCTATTATGAGGATTTCAACCAAAACACAGACCTAACAAACTCAAATCATTGTTTTGAACGAATTGTCTCTAATACAAGATAATTAAAAAACTCTAGCATCCCTTGGTGAAATTCGAATAATTTCGTATGAAAATTGCTTAGCTAATGGCTCAGAAGTTACAAACATCCACATGATCAAAAGACTAGCTAGAAACAATAAATAGAGAATACTTACATAAAATAGAATTGTTATTTATAAAAATTAGAAGTTTTATAAATGAGACCTCATGGCTAAACATAAATACAATGAAAACTAGAATGCAAAGACTTATAACAAACACTAAACCATATGCTCCAATAAACCCTAATCTTAATGGATCTAATTCATTAGGCCTCAAAATACCTTACTCAATCATTTCATTTTGTATGACCTTTACCTAAAATGTATTATCAACAAGGTAAGCATACATTTGGCAAGAAAAACACTAAACAAATCAAATGATGTGCACAAAATGTAAATTTAAAGATAATGGAAAACTTATATCAATAAAGTATTCGATAAATGACAGAAGTTCAACGTGAAACATAAGATGTTCAACATGGATGATAAATGAAAAATGAATAACTCTAAAACAAATACCTTCATAACCATTCCAAACACTTAGTATAAAATTGAAATAGTCATATGTTTAGCCCGACTACTTCGCATATTACATTCTTTTTTTTCATTCTTTCTCGTGAATAGACTCTCATAACTTATGCAAATCTACAATCCCATTTTCCTAAAAGTCATTCATTGTTCGAACAATTTGTCATGGCAATCACTCCCCACTCTCATCAAATTACAAATTCACATACCATTGAGTTTATGGCCACCTTTGACTTTGCATTTGCTTAGCAATTTTTCATCCATCCATTCTCAAACATAAGCACATCACAATGACATATCATCATGAATAACATTATTTGTTTCACAATATGCCATCAACATTTTAAATTTCACAATAAGAAGATTCATGTAACCAGTAATATGAAGATTACCAACATGTTTATCATAATATACATCAAAATGAAAATCATTACTATCATATCATAACAGATAGTATTCAAACTGAAAGGAATAACAAGGAGATTATCATACAAACATTAGAAATATACTACACCTGCTGGATTACAAATCCAACACATCATATGAAGTAATAATGATCTCAAGTCAATCTACAAGCTTCAAAGCTCCACCAACCTCGACACAACTGGCCTCCTTCCTTAGAAGAATTCTACTAGATCGATAGCTTCCCTCACTAAGATGCCCTCTTTAAATAAATACCTCCAAAGATCATCACCAACTGGCAATATGCTAGGTGGCACTCATCCAAATGCTTCAGAGTTCCTATTTATCCCTAATGACCGGAACACATGGCATGCTCTAATTGATCATCTTTAACCCACAAGCGAAGCCATTTCAGTAACAAAAGGAATTATGAGAGACAATTTCTGCACACCAAATCTTGAAAGTGGGTTGAGCATAATATAAACCCTTCTACCCATTGATAGCACATTAATACCATCTTGCAACCTTGCTTGGTTTTGAATGCTTTTCAGCTACTCTGACACTTGATTTGCTCAAGTTATGTAGTCTACTCAGCTCCGCTCCATTTACTCGATAAGGCATCCAAAGAAGGTCTAATAAAAAAATTTCAATAAGATAACTCAACAATATAAGGAATCAATCTGATAGCTCAATCAATGGTATAACCACTCATTCTAAGCCAAAAACTGCAAGGCTAAATATAAAATAAGTCGAAATTATTATAAATCAAGATAAACACCAAGTACCGAGCAAGCATATTGCACCTCAAATGCTAAAGCCAATGATTATAGTTCCTAACAACAACTTTGACACTCTATGGTGAATCATACCAATTATTTGACAAACAAACTCACATCATCCTTCTCGACAAGACCAATTCATTGGCTAAAAAAAGGTAAACAACCCCTGCATCAAATTTTGAAAGATCAGACATGTTTTCAAGGAAAGGCGCATAAAAAGAGAACCTCAAAACAATTATTGGTGAAACCCCATATAGGTAGGCGCAACATCTTCAAATCAACAAACAAGGAACATCATCTCCAAAATTCCTCCTCCTCAAAGGCTATATACTGCATTCCAACTGCAAATAATAAACTAATAAATGCAATCCCCCATCCCCCGCCCCCAACCCCCCCCCCCCCCCCCCCCCCCCCCACTCACTGGCGCCAAGGCATGGCTATCTGAAACTAGCTCATCAAAATCATACTCCAAAAGTCCTGAAACTACTTGATTTCCAAGGGCAATGCTGCAGTGACATCTGGGTGTCTCCCCAAAAATCTACTATTGAAGAAAATTTTTTTTCAAGCGTTAAAATTAAAAAATAGGGGTCTTGAAACTTCCTCTGATGTTAAATTTTCATGGTTACAAATGACACCTCAAAATTGTCCATCCAAATATAAAAAAGAAAATGAAAATATGGGGGGAGAGCTTTAAGCATGGCAAGCATCCTTATGTTCCTTGATCATGATCAAAGATTTGTTGGAGCCTAAAAACATTGATGCGAGTTCAAAGCTACTAATATGGAAGACCTCAACTTTATGGGGATCAAAACTATCTTCATGGTACTGAGCTGGTCGAACCACTGACAGTAAGAACAAAGCATGTAATGACCTCTCTATCCAATGGGATCAACATGAATTGGTACGTTAAGCATAAAAAGAATAGACTTAATCCTCGCTCCCTCTCAAACAAAATGATGAGGGAGATAGAAGTGTCACCGCCAACTCCATCTTAGCCAACAGTTAATGATGAAGAGACTCTTAACATCAGCCATCAAACTTTTATTATTCTTCCATTTCTCTTCTGGCTCCTCCAATATTCACATCCTCTTTTTTTGCGTCAAGGAAGAGTCATTGTCGATGGAGCTTCTGAGTTTACCATCCACTAGTTAAACGGGCCTTATTCAAGTTACTTAGGTCTTTATTGAGTAAAGTTCATGTCAAGCATTTTGACCATACAATTAACATCATATTTGGGTCAAATAAATTCCAAGTCAAACCTTGAACCCGACCCCTAGCTCAAATTGACACCAACCAAAATATTTTACCCTGGCTATTTGGAAAGGTGCTAGTTATACACAATAGTAAATTATTAATCATGGTGACATGCTGATATGAAGAAAATATTTAATATAACATAAATAGCATATCAACATACAATGTTAGGCCTCTTAAAGAGCCCTTCTTTCACAAGTCGTCGTAGATCCTCACATTCCTCCTACAAAAAAAAATTAATTCGGGAATGAAACTGAGTCACAATAATTTATTTAAAAAAGAATGTATATTTTATACCCAAAAGGGCATTCCTTAAAATAAGCATAACATAAAATCTAGGGAAATATAAAACTCCATTATTTGTATGTTTAGTTGGTATATAACAATAACCCCTTTACCTCCTCAAAGTTATCATCTGATAACATAGAAGATATATTGGGACAAACCGTATTTGGACAACCTTACAATAGTTGGAAACACATAGGATGATGTTTGTATTCATATCTCCTAATTTGTACTCTTCTGCCGCTTTTATCACACCTGCAACGAGACATAAAAAACAAAGTTTTTATGCCAAAACAGGAAAATTTTCATAAAGTGAAATAAAGCGAGAAAATCAGAAAGTTTTGATGCACCACCAGTGATCTGATTAAGCTGGTACATTCTTGGAAGAGGACCTTGTCCGTAGTTGTCTTTTGGATCGCTTTTTCTCCTTACAAAACAGCCCACAACCTTGCTTTCAAATGTCTTTGGGTCTTTCAATAGTTCCACAATCAGGGAACGCTTAAGATAGATTAATTTGATATTTGCTTCAGTTATTGCAGCAAAGCATTGTTTGGGAGGCTGCAAAGCATGTTCTAAGAAGTGCCTTTTCTCTGTATTTTGATTGGAAGACGATTTGTCCATTCTTTGCTTCTTAGCAGATTTTGCATAATCATCTTCTTCCAAACTAAATGATTCATCATCAGAATCATCGTTCTCAGCAAAATGTTTCTCCAACAAACTGTATACTTTAAAAAAGTTAACTTTCTTTCTCCTAAAAAGAGAGAGCAACCTTGCATCACAAAAAACATGCTTCTTCTTTTTTTTATCATGGTGTAGAAGATTGTTTGATTGGATATAATCTTTTACAATCTCATAAACATCATGTTGACCTAGAGGTTGCTGTGTATCCTTTCCAAGAGATACAAGAAAGTCAATCAGCTCCTTTGACGCCCAACCAACATAAGTCTTCTTCTTTAACTTGGATTTCTCTTTCACTATTGCCATCCTATTTTGTTTCCTCATAAAATCCTTAGAGGACATAACTTCATCACAACAAGCATTATCTGACCCTTCAACTTCTTCTTGCTCTTCAAAGTTCTCGTCTGAATCTGACAAGTTCTTGAACACCTCTCCCCTCTTGAGAAGATCATCAGCTGCTTGCAGATTAGCCAATGTCAGTCTTTCTTTTTCTTTAACTATCTCCCAGTAGTCTTTGAAAAGAAATTCGTAAGTATCTGTATCTGTAAAGTCCACCATTTCCTGTAAACAGGATGATGATAGCAGTGAAAATGGATCCGCAAGTTAAAAAAGGGAAAGAATAATGAGAATCAACTATATTCCTGGAATATCTTCATAGTGAATGCTGGATTTCCTTTATAGATTTAATATATTTAGAACCTAAACAAAGAAACAAGCAGTGAAAAACAAAAGGCCTATAAAAAAGCTTGTTGTGAAGGCAGTACCCCATCAGAATCAACATCGACATTTTCTTCAATCAATTTTGTAAGCCTTAAGCAGTTAGTGCAGAAGCCTTTTGCTCCTTTTACTTTAACAAGCCCAGATCCCCCAAAACATGTTCGACAAGAGGAGTATGGACAGCAAAAGCATCTGAATGTTGAACTTTTGTGGCAATTGTAGCATGAATGCCAATCTATTAAATCAGCAGGAAATAAATCATGAGAAGAGTTTCATGAAAAATGGAAAAGCAAAGCAGAGAAGGTAAAGAGAGAAAGAGCAGGATTTCCAGCATGGATAGCACTGTCATGGAATGGGATAAAATTAATGATTCAACATGCTATAAAAGAAGCATGCTTAGAAACTATTTAGAATAAATCACATCCAAAATTAGCATATCGAATGAAGATATCATAGAACACTAAAGGCAACACTATGCTAGCATTTTAGCCAAAGTTCTCATATTCCATTTCTTTATT